CTCTCTCTCTCTCTCTCTCTCTCTCTCTCTCTCTCTCTCTCTCCCCCCACCCAACCCAATTGTGTCTCATCATGTTCGTCTCGTCTGTTGGTCCTCCGTTCTCGGTCATATCTGCTTACCGGGCAAGCGGCACGGGTAAGACAGATCGAATGACAATCGAGAGTGCCCTCTGTTTCGGAAATCCTCACCTCTCGCTCCTTATCCCCCAAAGCGGCTAACCGCAATGATACCTCGCCTTCTTCCCGGGTCTCCTCCTTTCTCTCCCTTCTTCTCTCTCTTTCATCCTAAGCATTGTAGGTGTCCTCCTTCCGTCCTCTCTTTCTTCCTTCTCTCCCCTTCCCTTCCTCTCCCTCTAGGTAATCAGCTATGATTCCTTGGGCTACTTTTCCAGTTTCCTTTGCGGAGTCCAGATAGGCGCTATCGCCCCTCGCCCTCTGGTTTTCCCTCCATTCCCTCCCTCCTAACTGTTGTCTGACGATCGAGTGACGCAGTGCGTGAGGTCTTGTAAACCAGAGCTTAATTAACAAATATGATGCGAGTCCTACTCCTTTCTATACTAAAAAACATTGAGTCAAGTGATCCCCGGTAACTAACATGAGCATAAAAAAAGCAAACATAGATAAATAACGCACAAATCGAGGCAACAAAGGATCCTTCCTTCCTTCCTTCCTTCCTTCCTTTCTTAATCTATAGCGTGACCAACTGGCCTATTTCTTTCTTCCTTCCTTCCGAAAGCTATAGCGTGACCAACTGGCCTATCTCAGTTGGTACACCCCTGAACTGTTAAAATACTGACCCAAGCTCGAACGCCAGTGGGGAAGCAGATGCGTAGTCTGTAGCGTTATGCTGCTGCCCGTTGTATCATTGCTGCCCGTTGTGTCATTGTACAAGAGAAGAAGCAGGGCAGTAATTCCACCTTGTCGTCGTTCGGAGAGCTACCTGGTAGGGGTAGGTTGCAAGAGCTTGTGCTTTCCGTACCTTTGCGATGGGCACGCTTCCGGCTAGAGAAGCCCCTTTTCGTCCGACCTTAAAACAATGAGAGCTTCGGCGGTGGGTGTTTCCGCACCCGTATTCGATTGCAGATATCCTCCACAACTATAGAACGCATGCTAGTAATTCGTCCCCTGTGTGTTCTTGCGCTCTCATGAGTTCCATCCTTCCACGTGTGAATAGATGATCACGCACGACTCCTTCCGCGCTAGTAGAGTAGATTGTCTTCCTTAGTAAAATTATATATATATCGTCAAGCAGAGCTGGCCGGTAAACCGTAGGCAGAGGGGGGGAGAAGAGGACAACAAACGAACGGCTATATGTCGTCAAACAGAGCTGCCCGGTAACCGTAGGCAGAGAGGGAGAAGAGGACAATAAACGAGGGGCTGTGACAAACTGTGTCGTCGGAGAACGACAAAACCAAACCCTCCTGAAGTGACCGACCTCGCTGAGCCTTTTTGGTAGGGGAGTAGTTTAGTTTCCAACCCTTTATTTCCTGTAAACAGCTTGCGCATCCCACTAGCATAAACCAAAAACGTGCCACCCTCGTTATGGTTAATAGCCCAGGCGACGGATCCGTCCGTCAAATTTCACCTTCCAGTTCCAATTAAGAAACAATGTCATCAGACGTGACCGGGGAGCCTGCAGGTGTTGGAGAAAGACGAGCAGAGAGACTTTACCTTCCATCAGAAATCTTTTTTTTCTTTTTTTTTCTGTAAAAGGGCAACGGCCTTGAGATATCATTATCGAGGGGTAGTTCAGAACTGGAGTATTTCAGTCACTCATGTCCGTATTTCAACAGTTCAGGGTGTACCAACTGAGGCAGGACAGAAGCCAGAAGGAATATAAGTCGTAGAAGCTCTCCCGATTGGCACCATGGTGTTGGAAAGGCCAGCTCGGATGTGTTCGTAGAGCCGAGAGAAGGGTTAGCATCTCCCTCGATAAGGACGGGACTGGTCTACGGACCATATGAATGAGCACACGGTTTAGGCTACCTACCCTACCCTCCGGTCGATCCAACCGTTTCGGAAGGGCATATGTTCTCTATGCATAAGGAGGTGCGAAAACTGAGACCCATTTGTGCCCCTATGCATGAACCCGGGCGCAAGGCGATACGTCTTACTGCAGCCTGCGTCAATGAAATGTTTAAAAATCTACCCCAATCCTCTCATGTCTTTTGCGAAACACTCGTCTTCTTAAAATCTACCCCAATCCTCTCATGTCTTTTGCGAAAACCGAGACCCAGTTGTGCCCCTATGCATGAACCCCTATGCATGAACCCGCGCGCAAGGCGATATGTCTTACTTCAGCCTGCATCAATGAAATGTTTAGAAATCTACCCCAATCCTCTCATGTCTTTTGCGAAAACCGAGACCCAGTTGTGCCCCTATGCATGAACCCCTATGCATGAACCCGCGCGCAAGGCGATATGTCTTACTTCAGCCTGCATCAATGAAATGTTTAGAAATCTACCCCAATCCTCTCATGTCTTTTGCGAAACAGCCATCTTCTTGGGCCCTTTCTTGATATATAGAGTTAATACAGTAAGTAGGTTCATCAGGTTGAAGATCTGTTGTGTTGGTAGTCATGACGTGAAAGAAATGCTTTGTCAACTACCTCACTGCTCCCGAATGGGCTTATAATTCTCTATGAAAAGCTCAGGCCTCTCTAAGGGCGTACTTGCACTAGCACTACTATCTTAAATGTATCGCACCGCATTTACGACCGGACCTGGATGTATGCCACTGCAATGACGTCCAGAAACAAGTAAAAAAAGTCCTGGTGTGAGTATGCCCTAAGTGTCTGGTTAGTGCCCGAAGTGTCTGGTTAGAACTAGAGGTAAGGAAGTACATTTTTCCACAGGTGCAGCAGGAGCTGTGGGTTGGAAATCTTTCAGATTTTTCGGTACTGTTGAAATTCATTGCTTTGATTTGCACCATACATGTATAGTATACTGTTCCTATGGGTACAAGTGTGAAGTGGAACCTATGAATTCCTATGGGCACGTGTAGCTCACACCCTTGGACTGGGCCAAGCCTAGCGTTAACGCTTTCTTATGTGTGTGTGTGCACATTGAGTACATTCTGTTGAAAGTTTGGGTAGGGGTGTGCTTCACTTCTCAAGGGATTGTAGGTTCATAAATGAAGTCTTGTTGTTTGTCAATTGCCAAGTTTTGCTGCAAGGATACTCATTACTAGTATGCTAACTCTACTAGAGTAAGCAGCATACTTGGAATGCCGCACCATGGTTGGGAGTAATCTCACGCAAGGCTTTTGCCAGGCCTTGCACAAGAACCAAGCTGTTCTGGTGGAAGGAAGGTTGATTGTCTTTCAGGAGCCACAAGATTACTGCAGCATGAGGCAGAAGATGGTGGTTATTAGGAGTAATTTCATGCAAGGCTTTTGCTAGGCCTTGCACAATATCGAAGACGGTCTGGTGGAAGGAAGGTAGATTGTTTTCCAGGAGCTGCAAGATTACTGCAGCAGGAGGCAGAAGATGGCGGCCATTATGTCCCTTTTACATTGGGCCTGTGCTATGGGCATTTTCCCGCTGGAGAAGCCACCTTTCTTTTGATCTTAAACCACCACTATGTTTCCCAGCTAGAAAATCAAAGTTATGGTGTGCATGCTGCCGCAACTCTTGGGAAGCACCTGGATGCCATTTCATGCCACATCCATTCAGGAAAAATGGGTTGCATGCAAGGCCCATTTTGCCTGGAAACGGTGCCTGAGCCTGTTTTGCCTGGAAACGGTGCCCCAAGACTTGCTGACAGTCGTGGCAGCATGCACGGGACTCTGACTTTTTAGCTGGGAAATGTACTGGTGGTTTAAAAATGGAGCTTCAGCAGAGCAGAGTTTCGGACTGGCTCTTCGACAAAGCCCTTCAGAATTGCTGGGTTATGGTCATATGCAATTGACTGCTTGACCACTTGGATTTTATATTTTTGTCCTGGATACTTGGGTCTTTGTGGTCCCTTTGGTCTTCGTTTGTCCACTTCTTTTATGTTTCATGGTAAGTTCTTCAGGACCAGACCGGCGACTCTCCGTTTTGGAGACTATATAGACTATAGTAGTCTAGTTTAGCTTTCTTCCACACACTGTGGCCTTAGCCTGAAGATAATTGGGGCCTCTGCGATGTTTCACGCGAAGTTCTTTAGGACCGGGCTAGCCGGGAGATAGGAGATCAAGTTCTTTTGAATTGACGCTTGTGGCAGCTCCTTTGCAGCTCTTCTTCATTTGGCTCCATACCTGCCTCCCTTCCCCGTGTGATGAAAATC